CAAATGCCTATACATCTCTTGGCACTGGAGAACCAGAGAGCATTTGATGGTGCCACAGTCATTGAGGGAGTCCAGGGCTAGCTAGTCCAAGGTGAGGATCTTGCCCCTAATTTTGAAGAGTGGGTTCCCAGAGTTGCTCACACACTGTGCACACACTTTCAATTTGAGCATCTCCTGTACACACATATCCTGGGTTATCACCCCTACAACCACAGTGGTTTTGCCATCCTAGCCAGGAAGCTTCATTCTTCGGATCATCAGGGGAAGAAACAGAGGTGACTGGGTGGTGCTACTTATGAATAACTTCTTCAGCACCACTTGGTTGAACATGGAATTGGTTCATATGGTCATAAACCTGTACTGCTTGCTCAACAGCCTTAGGTAGGTAGAAGTCCTTGCTCTTGGGCTACCTGTTCCCAACCTTTCAATCTGTTGTGGCTGACATGGACTCCTAAGACCAGAAAGAGATAACTGCTTCATAGCACTTTCAGTGGCAGTAGTTCACAAACAGAAAAGAAGCAAGAGAGAGAAAGGGAAGAAAGGAAGAGCTGTGTATGTTTTTAAGGAATATGATAAAACTAATGTTTAGAGAGTGAAAAAATTGGCCAGCCTGGAAAAAACTAGGAGTGAGACACCAGTTTCAATCAAAGGAAGAAAGGAAGGGGGCAGGGGTGAGTGTCTAGCATCTAGGTACAGGGGTCAGTAATCTAGATTCCAGGAGATTAGGCCAGAAACAGTCAGAAAAAAGATCTAAAGCTGTTAAGTCCCAAGGGAAAGATGGGACAAATGTTCAAAGCAGGGTCAAAGATTCAGGATCAGTTCCAATAGAGGCAGAGGCAGGGGTCAAATTGTGAGATTCTAGTTAGAACCCAAACTCAGGGAACATGGGAGGCCACACTTTCAGCTAGACCCAAGACATGTAACACTCATTAGCTGCTCGAACCAGAATTAGTTCCAGACTGTGGATGAAAGCTGGGGTGAGTGGAGAGCACAGTGAGGAAACCAAGCAAAAACCATAGAAACTGAACCAGAGTTAGAGATATATACAATAGAAAGAAAAAGTTAAAGTTGATGTGCCTAGCCATATGAACACCGAGAAGTGGCCCTTAGAAGAAAAAAGTAGAAGGCAAATCACTCACAGGGGAAGAAGGTGCACAGGAAGAGACAGGGAGAAGTCTATGACCACCACCAGGGGATTAGGGTGGGGGACACTTCCAGTTCCAAAACAGTTTTGTTGATTTACAGCAGTAAGGCACTCTGGTGTGCCACAAGAATTCTTAAAACATGCTATACCTGACTACATAGACACTCACCTCTTATCCCTTAGATTAGGGGTGTCGAACTCAATCAGAGAAGGGGCCAAAATCTAAAATCCAGCCTAAATCTCGGGCCGAATGGTTTACTGAACAGTCATAAACTGTCATTGTGATGGAAACGCAGCGGAGTGCAGTGATGACAGCAAGGTGCGGGCCACATTGCAAGGCCTGGCGGGACGGATTTGGCCCGCGGGCCTTGTGTTTGTCACATGTGCCTTAGATTGTCACGAAAATGACAACAGCCAACACAATGATAGCTGTCTGGTGTTAATGCCCTGTCTTGAGCCATAGTCTATTATATAGGATATTTTTTATTATATACCCTATATAATAAAAGGCTAATATGAAAATAGACCAAACAGCAGAATACCTGGAACTGGTCGCTATGACATGTGCTGACCACAAGAGGGTGTGTGCGGAACATGGCGTGCGTTGGCCTTGGTAGGATGGTGGAGGTGAGTGGGAGCATCAGACCAAGGTGGGGTGCAGGTCACTGTCATCAGGGAAAGCCTCTGGTGGTTACTGAAAATCCTTTGCTCCCACACACCATGGTCCCACCAGGCACTTGCACCCACTGCCAGTGCTGGTCCTGCTCCTACCTGCAGCTAGCACCACCACTCACACCAGCTGCTGGTGCCCAGCACCAGTCCTGATCACTTGGCGCCATCAGTGGGTGTGAGTGGTGGCTGCTGGCCCTCATTGCCCCTGAGGGCTTCTCCATCTCCCACTGCTCCTGAGGATCGGGGTAGCAGCCACCGCTCACACCCACTGATAGCACTGGCTCTGCTCACACCTGCTGCTGGTGCTGGCCCCAATTGTTCTATGCTGTCAGTGGGTGAGTGCGGGGCCAGCACCACCAGTCTGTGGGAGCAGTGGCAGCGGGAGTGGGGCTGCTGGCAGACAGGGGACCAGGAGCTGTGGTGGTAGGGGCTGGCAGGGGCATGGAGGATTGGCCAAAACCTACCACTGTGCCTACCGCAGCCTCTCAGCCCACAGTTCCTTCCAAGGTGCACAAATTCGTGCACTGGGCCCCTATAACAGAGTTGCATCTTATTGGTCACATCACATAATAAAGTTGCATATGATTGGTTAATTCTTGGTACCACAAATCCTTTTATATAAGTATAGACACCTGATTTTTATTATTTTTTATTTTTTTAATTTTTTTAACCCTCATCCAAGGACACTTTTCCCATTGATTTTGAGAGTGGAAGAGAGAGACAGATAGAAACATCAATGTGAAACACATGGACTGGTTACCTCCTGCATGCACCCTAACCAGGGTCCACCCGGGACCTTTCGGTCCACAGGCCAACACTATCCATAAGCCAGTGGTCTGCAAACTCATTAGTCAACAGAGCCAAATATCAACAGTACAACAATTGAAATTTCTTTTGGAAGCCGAAAACCAACTTCTGTGCATGGACCACGAAGTGTCAATCGCACTGTATTTGTGCGTCTGCACGTGGTATTTTGTGGAAGAGCCATACTCAAGGGGCCAAAAAGCCTCATGTGGCTCTTGAGCCACAGTTTGCCGACCACTGCACTATGCCAAACCAGCCAGGGCTAGACACCTGATTTTTTAAAAGTCACTTTGAGCAAAAAGAGTAGGTAATTACTATTACTATTATTTTTGTAAATAAATCAAAATTAAATATTTTTTTGTCAGATAGGCAAAAAATGTGTTTCTTGTTTTCCAAAGAATTTAGTAATTAGTTTATGTGTGCTATGGGATGAAAAAAGATTGAAAATCGCTGATTTATAGGATTTTGGAGGAGGGAAGAGGACAACAGAGTAGCCTTCAAGTGGAGGTGGGAGGATTGTAACCAGCATTCAATCATACTAGAGTAACCAAAACATGCTTTCTAGTATTGTTAACTGTTCGAGGCACTATTACAAAGCTGGCTAGTGTAAAAGGTTAAACAATGATAAAAGATAAAGGCAAGAATGAAAAGACAGGAAAACCAGGAAAAAGAAGGTGGGGAAAGAACAGTCAGGATATAATGGATTCAAAACAAATGTTAAAGGAAAGCAGTAATCCTTTAATAAAAGAGGCAAGTGTGGAAAGTCAAACTGATATGTGAGGAAATGAAGAAAAACAGGGGAAAATGTCCAATTCAGGTTATGTGATTAATTCCGCAGTGGCTTGTCATCCTTTTACATCTTGTCTATTAATAGAATATCTACATAGCAGCTGTGCTTTAGAAACACACCAAAATGTACACTCTGCTCTTTAAAATATATGGTAGAATTTGAGGATGCATTTTAAATCATTAAAAGTTCCAGGTAATAAAAGAGCAAAACTACAAACCTTGGGGCTGTTTTTATGCAGAGGTGGGGTGAGGGTGGGGGGATATTAGAAGATGAAGTATTTTGAAGTAGTTGATTCATAAAAGATACACTGAAACATACATTTTCTTTCTGAAGTTGTATTTTTTTAAATGCTGCCTTATCAAAACAAATCAGGTTATTAAAACTACCAGAATAAAGAGAGGGAGAGGTGGGAGAGAAGTACCCAGACTCCAAAAATCTATCACATAATGTTCATCATGTTTGCCATTCTCTCCAGACTTTACATTGCTCAAAGGTAGAAGATCTTTGATTTCACCACCATACACTTTGTAATTGTACCTGTCACTCAATAAGTACTTGATTAATCTGGGAGAAGCATAAGGAGCAGTGCTTCCTGTCTGAGAGGTCCTTTGAGACTTGAGTAGAAGGTAATACATAAGAAATTACAGTGATCAGTACAAATATCTGGGCATTCATTGTAGTTTTTCCAAACTTCTGGTCAGTTTTGGAGGTGATTTCCCCTTCCTCTTCTCCCCTCCCCCCGCCAAGCTTAGAATTCTAACATTCTGTAGAATGTAACATTTCTGAAGTGGAGACCTCAACTTCTTTCTCCTAGTCTTCTCTTAGCCTCCTCAAACTATCTCCCTTTTCCCACTCCCCACCTTTCTTATTACACTGTGGCGGCAGCTTTTCTGCCGCCAGAGTAGCTGCAGGACTCCAAGCGCGGTTTTTTTTTTTAAAGCTTGTCTTCTTTAGGGCGGTTTCCGGGGATGATGGGAGGGGGGTCGCTCTTTCCACACCTCCGCTGATTGGTGCTTCCCCTACCCAGCCCTTCCCGCAGCCTCCATTCTACTGAGTTCCACCTTAATCAGCCCCTTCCACCGCCTTCCCTTGGAGAAAGCCAGCTCCTTAGAGTTTCTTGTATGGAATAAAAGTGTTAAATAACACGTGGAGAACACTTAATTTGTCTAGGCCTTAGATATCTGCTGAGCACAGTCCGCTGGTTCTCCATATCACCATCAGCACAAATAACATCTGACCTCCACGTGCGTCTTTCGGGACCCAGCCTCAGAAAGAACCACCCGGCGGGCCCTTTAAAAGGATGTAACCACTAAAACCAAGTTGGGGGTGGGAGAGAGACCCTTGTTGTCCTTATTCATCAGTCACTAAACTCCTCAGCCCCAGACAAGTGGAGTGCATCTCAGGGCAGTTCAGAGGGTGCTCCCCGCTCCCTTCTACTTACATTTCTTTCTTGGGGAGCTCACTTCCCCGCCCCTCCCCCCCCTCTTCCCGTGCAGCTGTTCGCCGGGTTGTTGTTGTGGTGGGCAGCCCCGCCCCCTCCTCGTGGCGGCCCCTCCCCCGGCCCTCGCTCGGCCCTCTCCCCGCCCCCAGCCCCATCTGTTTTTGCTGGCTGGGCGATGATTACATTGTACGGGGCTGGGGGCGGCCGCAGCCACAGCCGCAGCCGCAGCCGCAGCCGCAGCCGCGGGATGGGGCGAAGGCGCGGAACCCGCGGACCGCGGGAGCAGCCGCCGCCTCAGTGACCGAGCGCGAGCCGCCGCCCCCCGCGCGCTCGTCGGCCCTCAGCTCATGCTCCGGCCGAGCGGCGGCAGCAGCGGGAGGAGCAGCCGCCCCCGCCCCCGCCCCCGCCCGAGGAGCTGAGGCGGGAGTCCGGCGGCGGGCAGCGTGGGGCCGCCCAGAGCGAGTCGAGCACGGGGCCGGCGTTCCCGCCGCCACCGTCGGGAGATGTGCCCGGAGGAAAGCGGTGCGGCCGGGCTGGGCGAGCTCCGCTCCTGGTGGGAAGTCCCGGCCATAGCGCACTTCTGCTCGCTCTTTCGCACGGCGTTCCGCCTTCCCGACTTCGAGATCGAGGTGAGTGGCCGCGCGCGGCGCCCCTCTCCCCGCCGGGTCGTGCGGCACTGCACGCGGGAGGGAGCGGCGCCGGCGGCCCCCAGCGGAGGGCGCGGGCGGGCGGCGCGGAGCGGCCGCGGCAGGGGTCCGGGCTCCGGGCTCCGGACGTTGCCGGCGGCCTTCGCGCGCCCCGCGCCGGCTCCGGCGAGGCGGAGCGGGCGGCCGTGGGGCGGGGGACTTGCTTTTGTGGGAGTGGGACCGCCGCTCTCCTGGGGCTTCAGGAGCTCCCTCTGGGGGCGGTGGAGGCGGCGAGCCAGCTGCTGTGGTGGGATGGGGGTGCCGGCGAGGCTCTTCCCACCTCGGGGGCGCCTTGGGCTAACTCGGGCGGCGGGGACTGGGGCCTGAGGGCTGCGGCGCCGCGGAGGGAAAGTTCAGGACTCCGCTATTATTCGGCGGTGCCCTTCCCCTCGGAACGGACGGCCTCGTTATGCAGGGGCCGCAGAGCTCTTGGAGTCGCTTGGCCTTTATCCCCACGGGCGATCGTGGAGGAGGACGGCTCCGCCAGGCCGAGGTCCTCCCCGCGGCTTTGTGGCAGCCGCGCTCGGACGGGGTCCCGGCGCGGGGCTGGCGGGAGCGTGAGGACCGGAGGCACCGGAGCTCCGGACAGCAGCTGGCCCGCCGGCATCCTCCTTTCTTTTCATTTCTGGAAGGGGGTGTGAAATATGCGATTGGCTGGCAGATTGAATTGCTTGCTCGCTGTAGCAATATGCGTAGTGACTTATAACCTTTTGCCTTTGGAGAAAGATAAGTGGAAAGTTGGTCAGTTTTTCTTTTCAGTTCTGCCATTAAGTTCGCCGGCAAAGATATCAAAATAAGAATCACCCATTTGGAGGAGTAAATCGTGGTTGTTGCTTCCCCACCCCCACCTATCTTACTTTCTGCCGTTTTCAGATTTAATTTAATTCGTTTACTCCTAATGTTTTGTCTCATATTTAGTTTTAGATTCTTTGCGCAGATATCATTTGCTTCTCATATGAATGAAGTGTGAGAACTTGCTCTTGTTGCAGAGTTAATGAAATCGGGAAATAAAACGAAAAAAAAGGGTAGGGTGGAAGATGAAGAGGAATGTAGGCTAGTAAACTAGGATCATTCACTGGTTTTTGGCGATTCTTAGTTTCTTTTTTTTTTTTGCGATTCTTAGTTTCTTAAACTGGTGAAAATAATGTGGTTAAAATGTTAGGAAAGTATAATAACTTGGGTATTTTAGGTAGCAACATAGTGTTTATTTTCAAAGTTTGAACGTAACTGTAGAAAGCATGCTTTTTACTGAAAATTTAGTGGCACAACTGTTTATATTGACTGAAGAGGAGAAACAGGGCTACAAAAATGAAAGGTTGGGGAATGCTAAAAGTCAAGAGACTTAACAATTATTCTGGAAATCCTGTGATTTCTTCTAGTTGGCATAAAATAGTGAGTAGTTTATATCCTGATCCTCAAAATGGTGGCTGTTGTGGGAGGTGTTGCCTGCAACGATGCCATCTTGGGCGCTGGTAAACTTGCCTCCAGCCCCAGGTAATGAAACTGAGGTGATTTTAAGGACCTGTTGTAAAAGTACTGCGGAAAAACTCATCTTTCAAAACCTATGTATTCCTAGTTTGTTGATGGAAAAATAGAAGTAACTAATTTTGCCTTAACTTGTTACAAATATCGAGAGTATTCTATAAATTACTTGTATTATGTTCTAAGAAATAAATGTGTGGTTTCTAAATATTAGCTAGTTTAATTCATAAAGGGAATGTAAGCTGATCAAAGAGATCAAATTTGTATGTATAACAAATGAAAAAATCAGTTACAGGTGAGTAATGGGGCTATTTCAGATGTCTGTTTCTGGGTAGTGACACTTTTTTGTTGGTAAAGTGTATGCTATTTGAAATACATGTCACACGAATGAATATTTGGATTCCATTTTGGTAACTACTCATACCTGTTTTTATTTTGAGATGTTCAGTAGATGGATAACAAGTGATAGTGGCATTTTTACTTTGCAGTTCTTGTATAATTTTTCTCATTTCTCATGTAAAGTGTGTTTTGAAATGCTTAATGTGAAATTTAACTTAAAATTTTCAGTAGTTATCAGAAATTAAACATTTAAAATTTATTTTAGGATTCTAATTAAACTCAATGATAGTGCAGAGCTCTTCAGAAACAATATCAGTTTTTATTCTCTAAGTAAATTTATTTTTATTTTGCTTAGGTGATGTTTTAATCGAATAGATTATTGTCCTTGACAGTTTGAGAAACAGTTTCTTGGTTAGAGTTTATGATGCAGTGGAAGACTCTTTAAAAAAATCCCAAAACAGTTCTAATGCTGAGTTGTACCTTCTTAGGCCAGCTAAAAAAGCCCTACAGTCTTAATTTATGGCAATCTTAGAAGATAGAATTGATTAATAATACCAAGTGGTAAAAGTTGTATATCAGATTTTAGGTAGCCAGTTTTCACCTGTGGGAAAAATCTCATTTTTACACTGGACCACCAAGCTGAATCCATGGATTAAAAAAAAAAAACGTAGGAAGCAGAATCCTCAAGGATTTGGCTTCTATTTAAAGTGAAGCAATCAGAGTGAAGGGTTGTAAAGTTCATGATGCAATTCTGCCAAAAGTCAAGACCTCCTACTTATAGGACTGGTCCCCAAAGCACATATATTATTTTTGCATGTAAAAACACACACCTTTGTTCTCTCTTCGCCTTGAATGTACAGGATTTCTTCAGAAGAGTCAGTGTACTTGATTCTTATTTTAGGGATATGTTTAAGGTCTTATGTTGTAGCCCACCCCCCAAATTGGTGTTCTCTAAACATCAGATAAAAAATCTGAATGTATAGGTCAGGAGTGGGGAACCTTTTCTCTTCCAAGGGCCATATTTATAACATCACTTGCAGGCCATACAAAATTATCAACTTAAAAATTAGCCTACTATATTTGGTCAAACATTTAATTAACTCACCCCTAATATGAGGCCTGAGAACACCAAAGGAGTTCTCAGGCCTCTTTTGGCCCATGGGCTGGAAATGCCTTATCTTAGATAATGCTGTAAGTTGTTCATAATTTCTGGTTTTAAAAATAATAAACATTGCATAAAACTTAAAAAATTAAAGCAAAATATAGGTAAGAGAATGAAAGTCACCATAATCCCACCACTCAAAGATAAAAGTTGTTAGCTGTTAACATTAGGACCCACCACTCAGGGATAACAGCTATTGTTAACAAATTAAGAGATTACCAAATATTCTCACAATGTATTTCTACCATAGATTGGGTGTTCTTTTTATTTTTCAGATGAGGCTATTGAGGTATAGCTGGACAACAGTGGATTAATGGCACTGTATTCAGTAGTTGGTATTGATTGATCTGCCCAAAGATTTCATACTGATCTTTTTCTTAGCCAAATTATTTTTACAGTGAATATAGTATGTTACTTGACCAAGGTAAAGTAGAGGAAGATAGAATCATTTTAGATAATCTGGTTTGGAGTTAGTCATGATGGGTGTGGGGTTGAGAACAGAAATTTCAACACAAACATTTCTGCATGTTTTCTCTAAAGAATTTGAGAACTTGATGTCTTTAGGTGACTATTTGAAAATGGTCATGTAAAATTATTTGAATGGTTTCTATATAGTATAGCAGTATGATATAAAGAATCTATTAGTCCTGTCTACTGCTTTTTTCCCTGAGCTTCCTACTTTTGAGTACTGAAACCATTGCCTTCTTTGTAGCTCCTTTCCGGTTGTGATGATACGTGGCTAATTAAAGACCTCAGTAATCAGCATGATGATCTGGGGGCAGTACCTTTAATTCAGATTCCTGAATTCTACTCTTGGTGTTTCCTTGGATCCAGCCTCTTAGTTAAGACCACCAAGGCATTAATTATTTAGGAAAGTAAGAAATAAAAATTGCTGAGGGTACATCAGTATATCAGTGGTTCCCAATCCTGGGGCCTGTGGATGGGCTGTAGGAGTTTAATGTTGGTGTGCTGGACTTTGAGGGACTATGCACTTTGCTGGACGAGACTATCGCTCTCATCAAATTTTAGAAGTGATTCCCAACTACGATATATCATGTTAAGTAAGAGGCCTTGAACTAGATGAAAGAATAAGTAGGCCCTGAATAGGGGAATCAGAAGCCTAGTTTCATGATACAAGATGCATTGGACTGGAGTTCGGAAACTTGAACTCTTATTCTAATTGTGCCATTAACTAGCTCTTGTGACTTGGGGCAGGTTAAAATAACCTAGTGATAAATGCCACTTGTATAGTAGCACTTTATACATTTTCCAAATATTATTTTGTTTTATCCTTAGTCATCCTTAACCATTGCCGTGAGGTAGAAGGCATCCTCATTTTACAGATGAGGAAATTGAAAGTTAAGAGGGGCTAAATTGCTTGCACACAGGCTTTCATTTGGATTTCAGGTTCTTTGATATCAAATTTTATGCTGTTGCTACTACCTCACACTGCTTTCTGCATCAGTTTTCATTATTTATAAAATGAAGGGCTAGACCTAAGTAATGACTAGGATTCCACAGTGCAAATCTAGAGTTCTTTGGTTTTTAATAATGTGGAAATAAGTTTTAAAACTTACGCTTAGCCGAAACTGATTTGGCTCAGTGGATTGAGCGTTGTCCTGCGGACTGAAGGGTCCCAGGTTCGATTCTGGTCAAAGGCCTGTGCCTTGGTTGTGGCCAGCTGATCGATGATTCTCATTGATGTTTCTAAAAAAATCAATAAAATGTATTAACAAAAAAACTTATGCTTAATTTAGTACAGAAGAACAAGCTCATAATTTCATTTGTTTCTTTCTGTAAATATTTTTTGAGCATCTACTATGTGTGGTAGGCCAAGTGTGTACTAGATGCTGGAAGTACAGATGTGAACATAACACAGAAACACCTGCCCTTTTTTTAGCAGAAGGAGACAGACATTAAACTGTCTCAAAGGATGACAGGAAATCAAGTAAGGTAGACA